ACAGGTCAGTTTTTTGAGAGGATGGAAAAGTTTAAGGACCAGGACAAGATCCCAGTCGTATTTGATGGTGAGCTATTAATGCTGAAGGAAAAGACACAGATAAGGAGATACAGGTACACACACACACAAACACCCACACACTTACCTTTAAAAACAGGTGAACTTGCAACATATTTAAATTTAAAAGTCCTCAGATATTTTATTTTATCTCAAGTATACACACATTTATTTTATTTTCATGTATATATTTTTTCAGTTAAAATGTAAAAATAGACTACTCAACACATGGCTCTTAATGATTATACCGTATATATATACGTATATCATAAAGGTAATCTGTTATCTTCAGGAGGCTTTGGTGGTGTTTTTTAACTGTGGAAAAAGGTTCCAAATGGCTCTTAGAGTGTTACGGTTGCCGTCCCCTGCTTTAGACCAACACTAACAAAGAGCTTTGTGCTCACCTCTGCTGCTTCAAACAAACCTTTCAAAGACATTATCATAACACTTTCAAAAATATTCCTAACACATGTGAACAGTGATGTGTTCAAAAGCGCTGGTGCATGAGCAGCTGAGATGGAACTTCATGCAAATGAGTTTCCCTTTTAACCTTTGGTGCACAGAATATGCATATGATCAAAAAAGCAAAACGCACAGAACCATTTTAGTTCTCAAGGCTTGTATTGTTTTCAATATCTAGCTCACATCAGTGCGAATGGCTTAACACACACACACACTTGCACAAAACCTCATCTGATAATTTATCCGTCAGGCTGTTAATCCTACTGGCCCAGATTTAGTCTACAGTCTGGCATCAACTGTACACACTCCAAACCCCAAACATGCATGGCCTCTCTGCTCTGTACCATGTGACTGCTGCAGGAGTCATGTGACTCCAGCTGCTGCACCTGTGACCTACTGTTCTGAACTACAGCGCTGCTCGGCTGCACTGTGGGGAGAAAGCAGGGTTTCTGTGCTTGAGAGCAACATGAGTCACGGTGAGTAGGAGATGCAAAGCTGGCTGCACTCACCGCCTCTACCGCCAACATCATTGTCTTCATCATCTTCATTATCATCATGATTGCAGGGGTTCTGATTGAGAACAATGACCCCGCCGCCCCCTGGTGCCTTTGGCCGTGTATATTTTTATATGCTTCCTATTCTGTGTCTGTGTACGTGGGCCGCAGCCATCGGAAATTACTGCAAGTGCCACGGTTTCAGACAACGCCTGTCGTGCAGCTTTGCATTGCCACATTGCCATGGCAACATATCCTGACTCCCTCTCTATGCAAACTGAATGTAACACTTCAGCTGAGCAAAAGACATGACAGGTGGACTCAGACATAGTACCCCAGCATTACCATATAGTTACATCCATCAGTAATGAAATACATTTTAAAAAAAGAGAAAAAAGGCATCAAAAGATTATTTTCTTTGATTTTGAATAAAATTCATACTAATCATTTATAGACTGTAACAAAACTGTATGATAGAAATAATTATTTCATATAATTATATATTTATAATAATTAAGATATTAATTACCAACGGAATGTTTACTGAAGGCTATTGGTCAATAATTGGATCATGTGAAGGCAAAAGTGAAAAATTGAAGACTCAAGTGGGCTGTAGGTTAATTAACACTCAAAATAGACTGTAGGTTTTCAATGGTTGTATGTGACTGTAGGTAGGCTGATCACGCTGTACGTCACCAAAAGCAGCTGGGATTGGCCTTCCCCACATTAAAGTGACAGAAGCTGAGTCTCCTCGTAGCAGCTTTTACAAAACTTGCCAAACAGAGTAATCATGTATTGTACTCATCCAAACCCAGATGATCATAAATAATATGTTAGCAATGCCACAGCTATACTGTCGCTTTCATGTACACACATTTCCATTTTCTGCCCCCTGAGCTGTGTGATTGTCATTCCCTGAAAATTGAAACAATCCATGAAAACACGTAGACTGCCGACTCCTTCAGCTGCACTTGATCCATCCTGCAGCACAGGAGAGGGTGCAGGAGGATACGAATTCCCACACACAACCAGCGCACCAAAAAAAGAAGAACACAAAGAGAGAATTCATGAAAAAGGAAGCGGAGGAGGGAGAGGAGGAGGAGGAGGAATAAGGATGGAGACAATGAGCAGGGAAATGATGAGGGAAGCAGATGCAGATGAAAGATGGCGATGCTGATGCAGAAAATGAGATGGATGCATGGTGCTTAGAAAGTGGGGGGAAAACGGCAGAACAGGAGAGATGAAATTGGAGAAGTTTTACGATTACAGAAAATACCCTGGTTCCCCCTTTGCCACTGAATCATGTCACTGGGCTACATCCTGTCTGTTCTCAACTTCTCACCGGGCCTGCAGGCCATAAACAGTCCTGCTGCCTTATTGGAAACAGATGTGGTGAGAGAGCTCAGAAGGAACAGTTTCTTAAGCTTTGACTTTTCTTGCAGCAACAACTGCTGTGTTGTATGTCAACATTTATAGTAGCCCTTGATAAATTACCAAAACCTTAGAAATATGACTTTCCTTTCCATGACCTTAAGTATAGTGGGTATAGCAGACAGGATTTCCACTAAAGTAACCCATAGAATCATATAACACAAATTACCGTAGTCATTTACAGTGTAGAACAGGACATAGATGGAATTCTATCCTCTGTCTGTATTTTTGTTTCTGTTCCGGGTGAATGTGATGATCTCGAAATTAAATTAATTACCTATGGAAAATAGACCAGTAGGTGGCAGCAATGCAACTTATAAGATACAAATTTGCCAGTAAAAATATAGGCTAGGGCTAGGCAGATGGATGGAAGAAACTCAATTTTGTGTTGGTCATTTTAACACGATTAACAAATTCTTTTTTTTTTTTTTAAATGTGTTCCATGTTTTGAAAGAGTCGAAAAAGTCTCCATCGCCTGTGTCAGACTTTGGACGCTAGTTCTAAAATAGTAAGTGGCATATGGAAAGCACACTGCAAGAAACAAAAGCAAAAATACTAACAATTTTACATTTGCTTTGTAGGGTGTCTATTTAGATGCTACTTGAAATCTGAAAAAAAGTTGTGACTCACCCATGTTTCAGCTCCTGTGAAAAGACTTCGCAAGGATGGAAAAGAACACAGGATGTTTAAAGCAGTGAGGAGGGTTTAAGTTGGGGTGATGTCCCGCTCTGGAAAAGGGGGGTGGGGGACTTTAGGAGGTGTAGGAGGGGTTGAAGGTGGGAGGTAAAGCAAGCATTATCTCCAATCGTGTGCCCATTCATCTTCTCATGATTTGTATATATAAATATACAATTAGGAGATTCACAGATGTTTTTTAATAATAGGAAAAGTCTCGTCCAGCGATTGGCCACAACTTACCTACACTTGGACCAATCAGGAAAGGATTATTGTCCTGATGTGGCCAGAAACCAGAATTTGAGACTCTTCTTAGGTTAATGCAAATCCACACTTGATCGATCCACGTCTGGATAAGACTGTTAATATTGGGCCAGATATATTTATCAGGCTTAACGGTGGCCTGACCAAAGGCCAAATGTGGGTAGAACTTTCCACGAGATCTGGCCCACATTTTGAACACCAGATGTAGGTCATCTGGAGTATGTGGATCAAGTGTCTTTTTGGGTGAAAGATACAATACTATTACATGTTTAATACTAATACATGTTTAATAGTGGAAGGTAATTTAAAAGATACAAATACCAAATCACTTTAGATGATTAGCAGGAAGCGATGGTGTTTCTGTGGAATGCAGTTTGATCCAATATAGATGTTATTATAAAATCAATGATGAACCACATTCTGTATTAAAGCCTGTTCCACAGTGTAGCGGTTATCACACCTGCTTACACATCTGCCTTACATGAAGAAGGTTGTAGGTTTTAGTCCCAGAGGAACCACATACTTCGTGCCTCCTGTTGAGCAGCAGCAGATCTGCTGTTCCATAAAAGTATGTGGAATAATGTAAATAAAAAAAATAAAAAAAATACAACCCAAAAAGTAAATTTGATCCAAAATAAATGAAATTTATTGTGCTTAAAAACTTGGTTCTAAAAAGAAGTACTGGCGTTGAAGTAGCCTGTAGCAGCCACAAGACACAGCTGAGACATCAGAAATCACAGTAATGTCCTCTGCTTCAGTTTCATGGTTGTGAACGCAGCAGTCGGTCAGAGTTTCAGAGGAATCACTGGCCAGTACTTCGGCTGCTTCCGACAACAGTTTCTGTCAAAAGTGAGCTGCATTGCAGTTTCGATGGCCAGGATCTTGGCCGAGTCGTCGCCATACAACTTCTTCATCTCAGCCACACGTCTCTCACCGGGTCGTTCCACAGGAGCAGCTGTGGTGCTCCGCCCAGATCCGCGTTGCAGGTCCTGGTCGGCTGGTACGTAGCTGTCGTGCTGCTCTGCCTCCATCTGTTTCTCTGAAGGACAGGGAGATGAGGTCACAGGAGATTCTGGTAAGGACACTTTGAAACTAAAGGCTTTTTAGTTTATTAAGAAATGGTGGTCCAACATAACAACCTCTGTAGAGGAGAGTGGTGCCTTATTCAGATTAAAGGGTCATTCTGAGGCAAGTGTTCCCTCAAAACTATCAGTGAAATGTATTTGTGACCAACTTCTGCTGGGAGAAACCTATTTAAAAAGTGCATTTAACCCTAATCTTGTCTTTGCTAGTAAATAAATCTTATTGTCATCCTCACTTATGACTTGTGGCAAGAAGTACGTTCAAACAGAGTGAGTCGCAGTTAGTGATGAAGGAGGTCACATCCTCAGTGTCTCATCTGTAATGACTCCCTGCTTTTTTATGTATTCATAATGATAATTAATAATTTTAACTGTATTGATCATAAACAGGCTTAACGGTGGCCTGACCAAAGGCCAAATGTGGGTAGAACTTTCCACGAGATCTGGCCCACATTTTGAACACCAGATGACCTACATCATCTGGAGTATGTGGATCAAGTGTCTTTTTGGGTGAAAGATACAATACTATTACATGTTTAATACTAATACATGTTTAATAGTGGAAGGTAATTTAAAAGATACAAATACCAAATCACTTTAGATGATTAGCAGGAAGCGATGGTGTTTCTGTGGAATGCAGTTTGATCCAATATAGATGTTATTATAAAATCAATGATGAACCACATTCTGTATTAAAGCCTGTTCCACAGTGTAGCGGTTATCACACCTGCTTACACATCTGCCTTACATGAAGAAGGTTGTAGGTTTTAGTCCCAGAGGAACCACATACTTCGTGCCTCCTGTTGAGCAGCAGCAGATCTGCTGTTCCATAAAAGTATGTGGAATAATGTAAATAAAAAAAATAAAAAAAATACAACCCAAAAAGTAAATTTGATCCAAAATAAATGAAATTTATTGTGCTTAAAAACTTGGTTCTAAAAAGAAGTACTGGCGTTGAAGTAGCCTGTAGCAGCCACAAGACACAGCTGAGACATCAGAAATCACAGTAATGTCCTCTGCTTCAGTTTCATGGTTGTGAACGCAGCAGTCGGTCAGAGTTTCAGAGGAATCACTGGCCAGTACTTCGGCTGCTTCCGACAACAGTTTCTGTCAAAAGTGAGCTGCATTGCAGTTTCGATGGCCAGGATCTTGGCCGAGTCGTCGCCATACAACTTCTTCATCTCAGCCACACGTCTCTCACCGGGTCGTTCCACAGGAGCAGCTGTGGTGCTCCGCCCAGATCCGCGTTGCAGGTCCTGGTCGGCTGGTACGTAGCTGTCGTGCTGCTCTGCCTCCATCTGTTTCTCTGAAGGACAGGGAGATGAGGTCACAGGAGATTCTGGTAAGGACACTTTGAAACTAAAGGCTTTTTAGTTTATTAAGAAATGGTGGTCCAACATAACAACCTCTGTAGAGGAGAGTGGTGCCTTATTCAGATTAAAGGGTCATTCTGAGGCAAGTGTTCCCTCAAAACTATCAGTGAAATGTATTTGTGACCAACTTCTGCTGGGAGAAACCTATTTAAAAAGTGCATTTAACCCTAATCTTGTCTTTGCTAGTAAATAAATCTTATTGTCATCCTCACTTATGACTTGTGGCAAGAAGTACGTTCAAACAGAGTGAGTCGCAATTAGTGATGAAGGAGGTCACATCCTCAGTGTCTCATCTGTAATGACTCCCTGCTTTTTTATGTATTCATAATGATAATTAATAATTTGAACTTTATTGATCATAAACAATTCTAGTATTAACAGAAGATTTGCTACAACAGGCCCCTAGGAGGCGCCAAGTGTGTTGTTCCATGGGAAAAAAAACCCTCAACAGGTAAAAGCTTTGTGGCTTTTACGTTCAGGTTTAATTTTATGTTTGTTTGTGTTATGTGCATCTCATGCAATGGGCATTGGCGCAAATTACACAGGAAGTTTCAAAAGAGTTTTATTTTATATTTTTTATTGTAACAGTAAAGATTGTAGCCTCTGATTGGTTGGCCACTCCTGTACTATACTGTGGTGACATATTCTACTCACAAGCTTTCGACCCACTTTTCTTCTACTGCATTAAAAACAGATCTTACATCTGACATTTGCTTATCAAATGTCCCTCTGCTAGACAAAGTGAAACTTGAGTGTGGGATTCGGTTTCAATTTTGAAAATTCTTTGAAGAAAATTTTTAGGTTGAGTTTAAACTATTTTGTTACTATATTTTGAAGAAATATTTATGACCTTTGTCGAAAAAATAACTTTTAAGCTTAACATTGTTTATTTAGAGTAGAGTTTGTGATAAAAACTTAGCTTGATGCTTAAGCTACTTAAAATATTCATATGGAGAACCCAAACTTTAAGACTAATTTACTTTAAACGAAATTTTACACATTACGTCAGAGAACAAAAAGACTATACTGAGAGAACAATTAATGTCGTCTTACTTAGCTCCTCTCTGTGCCTCTCCGTCTGTGCAAAGTATTGTCTTAGCTCGTCGCTGATCTCCATATTGCTGACATCACACTCAATCTCGCTGTCAGAGTTGCTGTCCTCGTTCTGGGCCTCGTCCCCGCTGTCACTTTCTTCGCTGTGCCAGTCCCCATAGCGTTGCGGGATTCCAGACAACTGCTCCGGGTGATAGCCAAACCCATAAACAGCCTCCAAGGCTTTAAGGTACGCATGTCTGTGTCTTTGTTGCCAGTACATGGCCTGATGATAGTGCTGCCAGTACCGACTATACACAGGACTGGAGAACCAGGACATCACAGCGCCTGCTCCCTCCTTTGAGGAAGAAAGGGTAGTTAATAATTTTGCAGTATATGACTTGCTGATATTAAATTGTATTAGTCTGAGGTACTTGAGATTAGCTTGAGGCAATTTCATTTAGTCTTTGACAACAACCTGATATTGATAGTATCCACAAAAAAGTAATAAATTATTGACAGCATCCCTTAAGTTTATGTATTTTACTGGTATGGCTGCTCCAGCCCTCACATCACCCAAGGTTCAGGGTATTAAGACCAAGGGTGTAAGAAATCACCATGACACTTCAGCCAATCACATTAGTATTTCAGATGAGCACCCTGACCACAGCAAGTCACAGACAGGCTGTTAAATTAGAGAGAAGAAAAATGTTGTATTTCAAAGATGGTCAGAAACTTTTATTGTTTCTTTTACTTGTCCTTACGATTTTTTTTAGCTGTAACGTCCTAAATGACCTAACCATAAATTTGAGCGCACTGTAATTAATCGCATCGCCTGCAGATGGTCAACAAATTCAATTTATTAATGGACACTGTGCAGTTCAGTCTGCAGTGTCCATTAGGATTAAGTGGCTTGTATTATGATGAAATGTATTCCTCTGTAAAGGTAAAAGACAACATTCTCTCCATAAAAAGTGTTTCACTTTGATAGAAATCTAACTTAATATTCAGTGTCTTTATTTATGTTTTTAATTTTTTGAAAAGTACATATTAAAGCAGGCTCGTTAAAGCAACAGATTTATGTATATGTAGCATTTATAAAACGTTACGTTGAGCTAATGTGGCTACAGCCTCTCAAATCGTCACTGTTTGGCCTAATTTTAATACAGTCCAAATGTTTTGATATTTAAATAACAATTTACAGGGTTTAACTCACCATGATATGTTTCTACTCTCTGCGGACTTTCTGTTAACTTGAACGACTCGTCTGCAAAATGTGTGCACAAACACTGAAAAGCTGATGAACTGGAACAAATAATAAAATCCCTGGATAAAGCTGTTTGCTTTTATAACTAATGCAGAAGTGTTAGCATATAACTCACAATGACTAACACGCTAAATGTGACGTGGGCTAGCTATGATGCTAACATTGATTATTTCCTCCGTGAAAGCTTTCCCAGCATTCTTTGAGGCACAGTATAAATGACTGTCGTTGGCCGCCATCATGTGGATACGACGCGAACCTACAAGTTAACTTCATTGTCCAAAAGGTGCTTTTTCGACATTTTATTGACACTTTTTTAGGTTATTTATTTTTGTTTGAGTTGCATAACAGTATGTCACTACATAGAGCAATGATTCTAGATCACAATTTATTTTTTAATGAAACAGAATCGTACCAGCCAAATGGCCATACAAGTCACTTTAATAGTTTACTATTATTATTATTGTTATTATATTATCAAAAATTGTTATACAACTAAGAGTTACTTTTTTTGTAAACATAATCTGTTTGTGTTTTGGTCCAATGTCATTGGTTAAGTACCTTTTCTAATATTAATCATGAAATTGTTTTATTATTTACACCAAAAATAGCAATAATGTACATTTAGGAAGCATTCCCATAAATTCGAATCCAATCTCAAGATAACGGTCATTGTAGTCCCGTAATGGTATGGATATACACCTTCTTGTCGTCAACAAGCATTGGTGGTTCAGTGGTAGAATTCTCGCCTGCCACGCGGGAGGCCCGGGTTCGATTCCCGGCCAATGCATCGTCCTTTTTTTTCTGCTTTTTTAACCATAGATACAGAATAAGTCGAATGACGTTTACCTTAAAATATTTACAACGTCATCGTTTCATTTATTTACTTAGTAGGATAAGTTATTGAATCACGAGAGATAACCTGGATTTTGCACGATACAGTTTAACGAGGCATGAAACTATAAAAAAGACTACAAATCACAACAGCGAATGGCTACAAAAGTCCCATCTAAAGAGGGACAATGCAATTCGTACGATCGTCAAGGTTTAGTTGCACAAGTTTAGTTTAGAAATTTAACAAATAGCAATAGTATTTATTAATAATCAAATTCATCATTCCGAAGGAAATATGACAAGATACTGAAACAAACAACCAACCACGGGATGGAATGCTAAGAAATAATCGGAACTGGTGCCGTTTCACTAAAGACATGCGTTTTAGTAAACATGCAGTTCATATCTTTAACACTTACATTTTCTTCTCCAGTTAATGACGCGCATAAGGTCCGTGCACGGACGTGGTCACCATCGCCAGACGACGAAGTTAATTGAAATTGTTGAATTTCCTCACCCACACAGGCAACCGGTGAATGACTCACAGTTCAATGATCCAACAAGATGGTGGGTGGGTGTTAATAATTTGACAAAGAAAAACATGAATTAATAACGCGTTTTAGTGTCGATATAGATTGATAGCCTATGTGTCCTTTGTAATTTAGTACAAAGTAAGTACAGCAAGAAAGTAGTGCAACCAAATTTAATAGAGAAAATTAGATAATAGACAAGGTTATTGTAAATCTTGCTGCCCTGATATGAGTTGAAGGGATTTTGTTTATCAGTAGGCACAAAGCTGGTAGTTCACTTGATAAGAAAATAAATGATTAAAATGTGTGAAATAAATATGTTGGCAGGACTCCTTTGTTTTGTTTTACTGTACTGTATATACAACACTAAAGTCTGATACCCTGTGTCAGGGTTGGGGGTTAAGGAACAGTTGCCCGCATAATGTATGATGATGTCATTAACAACAGCAGTAGCAACAGGACCTTCTGAGGTTGTAATAGTTTTAATTCGACTCCTTGCAGATCAGTTCACACATAATCCTAATCCTAATTCATCAAGACTAAAAAGATAAACCAGGGGTGGTTTTCAATGATTGTAATAGCAGTGGATTTGTGTATTTCATCTGTTTTGTTACAGCCCACTCAGTGACCACCGTGGGTGATTGTCGTGGTCTATTATGTATAGATCTTTATGTGATTAGATGTCAGTAGCTTTATTCAGGTATAGCCCAGTGTTTTCTGGCAACTGAGAGTTTCTATCACTATTTTCTGTATAGTGATAGAAATATTTATTAGATATTTCTAATAAAATATGGATAAAACATATCCATATTTTATATGGATATGTAGTTCCATATAAAAATTGAAATTTTTATATGGAAGTACATTCAGTGAGCTGCACTCCATAGCTTTTATTCTGACCTGTTCTTTCATCTCACATGTTGTTTCAGGCTCCTTTAATGTGTGCAGTCCTTTAATATATTGATACACAAAGAATGAGAAACATTAGTGATTTAATCCAAGAAGCAGTGATGCAACATTACAGATGCCAACTGCCAAGATCACTGTCAATTGCCAACAAGAAGAGTGACCAGATAACCAACATGAGAACACTTGAAATAAGGCAGTCATGCAACATCGGGGAAAAAATCATGCAATATGGTCGACAACGCTGCACATCAATAAGGAAATTACAAAGATAAAACGCATCAATACATGATGGTGGTGAATTCAGGTGTGGATGTGTCCCCTGTGGAGGACACAAAATCAGTGTCATCAGATGATGAAATAAGAGACATGATATGCAGCGATTTGGACATGCCCTTGTTTCAGTCAAAGTACGTGACGTTGTTGTTCAACGAGTGTCTTAACCTTGCCTTTCCTTCGAGGGAGTCATGGGCATTTGTAATGGACGGCCGACAGCATGTCAGCATCGAAGTCAACAGTGTGCTGTTGTTCATTGGTATGGAAATAGTGAACCAGGTCAGCAGTGCAGTTTTTCAGGTTGTGGCCCCCCAAGTCATTTCCCACTCAGGTTTGAGATGCAAGAGCCGTAATTACAGATTTGTGACAGAGGAGGATATATTGGCAAGCTTTAATACAGATTTTCACCTTGGCCTTGAAACAGCACTGGGCCTCGCTGTAGAATATTCTTATATTATTGACAAAATGCTGGAATTAGTTGCAACCGAGGTGTCAAATACAGTCAACGAATGGCTTGAACTCATGGAACAGCAAGAGACTGAACCTCAGTTATGTTTGATGCACCCAAGAGAAATGGTCCGCCTGTTTGCCTTTATGCTGGTGTTGGCTGCTCCGAAGCACCCTGATCCGTGTGATGGCCAAGCTACACTAAAACAATGTGAGTCATGTGACAGCCAAGTGGTGCCAAAGCATCCTGAGCAATGTAACAGCCAAGAAAGTGCTGGTTGTGATTCCCGTTTAAACAGCTCAGAGTTTTCAGACTATGATGATATGATGTTGGTCCAGAGAGATAGGTCCTTCATCACAGTGTTTTGTACATACCTAGTTGTCCACATATTGGACTCAAATACATCAATATATGATATGGACTTGCTTGACATTATTGTACGTCTGGGAGAGAAGACGGTTGGAAAACTGGCGCCCACTCTTCCGAAAAATGTCAAAAAAGTTGAACTTGCTGTCTACAAAAAGCTCTGTTTAGAGTATGGATCAACAAAGTCTCTGCGGGATGCCATGTTTGAAGACAGCTATTTTGAAGAAACTGTGGCCTGGATTTTAAAAGAAGAACTACGAAAACCACAACCAGTAAGTTTTCGCAAGAGAATGACAAGATTTTTCAACAAAAGGACCAGCAAAGTGTCTCCAGAGTAAAGCATTGCCATGGACACCATCAACCAAAAGCAGGATCAAAATGCAAGCCTTCTAATTAAAAAAAAAAATATTGCAAGAGTAAATAAATCTAACACTTTTTTTCTTTTTCTGCCTTGGATGTTTGCGATTCCTTAAGGTAATCCTGGTTTGTTAGCATAAAATGGGTGATTACATGTTAGGTTACTGTTTCAGCTACTATGGAACTTACAACCACATGACGTTTTAAATGCTACAATAAAAACTGTGTTTTCAACAAATGTGGCTGCTCTTGGGAATTTTAAATTATGTCCCCTTTCTCTGGAAAAATCACCTTTTAGAAGAGAGGATAAATCAGGACTCACTTGAAATCCAGGCTATCGTGGCTCAATGATTCAGTAGAGGGAAGTGTGACTACATTAAAGGCTGTTAATGTAAATACTAATCTATTAAAATTCAACATGGCGCCATCTGTAAATATGTTATTAAATTATAGGGTAATTTTTACTTTCAGGTGTGTGATTAACCATTGAAAGAACCATTCTAGCTTTGGGTCGTTTTAATAGAAATTGGGCACGTTTTCACTTAAAGTTCAACGTTTAAAGTTAGGCAACTGCGGAAGTGCAGAGAGCGGAAACCTCTTGCAGCAGAATACCAAATGAGCGAGTGAGCAGATTGGAGTGTGTACGCTAGCTTCGATCTGCTGTGTATTTGTTTTATTTATAATTTCTGGTGTTTTAGGATGTCAGACAAATCGGTTAAACGCCCCGGAGTGGGAGTTGGAGTACTGGTAACAGACTCACTCCACCCTGGATGCGTTCTCTTGGGGAAACGGAAAAGCGCAATGGGCAAAGGGACTTATCAACTTCCTGGTGGTCATTTGGAATTTGGGTAAATAGATACCATAGGAACGTTTATTCATGACTATGACTGCTTGGTTATTATGCCGAATTGCTTGAAGATATGTTGACTGATGTTAAAACATGTTTGTATCGACGGAGTTCATAATGCGTGGCAAATAAATGGTCGCAAACGTAAACCTCTCTTTTTTAAATGCAATCTGCTGAAAGACAAGGGTCATCTATTGTGTCCGCCTATGTTTTAAGGGAGTCAACAATTAAAACCTTGGCGTTATTAAGACATCTACTCCTTAGTCATCTAGACACTATTTGTTGATAAATTAACATTTTGCTCCTTTAAAAACTTTTTCTTTAATTATTGGCCATTCTTAAACTTCTTCTGTTGTTAAAACCCCATAGTACCCGTACATTTCACAGTGAAGACCATAATGTAAAAAAATTAATATATTTTTCTGACCGTTGTAAACATAGTAGTCTGCAAAATGTTTAAGTTATATATTTTGAAGAGACGTGACAACTGAAAAAACATCTAGTCTCTATTGCACCTTAATTCTAAGAGTAAAAAATAAAATGTTATCCTATTTTAAACATATTCATCCACTCCATCTGTGGGTACACACTCATTTTCTGTGTGTATTGAAGCTGTATTTGCCCTTAAATATGAGTGATAATACCGAAGTCCACCCAGAAGCTGTGACACGCTGCCTGTCTGTCATTGAAAGAGAGACCTGGGAGGAATGTGCTCACAGGGAGGTCCTGGAAGAAGCTGGGGTGCAGTTGGTGAACGTCCACTTTGCCTCTGTGGTAAACTCCATCAGACAAGAGGAGCAGTACCACTACGTCACCATTATTATGCAGGGAGATCTAGACAGGGACAAGTCTGGAGAGCCGGAGAACCTTGAGCCGGAGAAGAATGAAGGTACAGACATACTTTCTCCTATGTTACTAGCTCTTTCCTTCTCTAGTTCCTAAGTGTATTGTAAAGATGTCTTGCTTTCTTTGCAGGCTGGACATGGACCCACTGGAATGACTTTCCTCCAGAGCAACACCTTTTCTTACCACTAGCCTGTCTGAGACAGCAAGGTTTTCAGCCTTTCCAGAACACGGACACAAACTCTACGGCTCGGCATTGAATCTGCGTGTTACTGTAAAAGGTATTCTTACACCAGATAGCCAGAACTGTGATCATATACTGTACACTGTTTTCATTGGTAAGCAATTGTAAAAAAAATACAATACTATTACAAAGTCCTTAATGAACTTGAGAGAAAATTTGGTAAAATTTCTGGTTTTTTTTTACATAAGTCTTTACAAAATCTATTCAAAAATGTTAATTTAACTGTGCAGGATAAAAGTTAACATTAGCTAGTACAGTTAGCAGCTCTCCTCTGTGTAGCTTCCTCCACACAGGAGATATGTTTATAAATGTTTAGAAAGATAATTATGTTTAAATGTTGTATTAATTGTCCATGGTATGTTTCAGATTTATTCAATTGAAAATGTAAATGTGAAAATATGAATTTTCCCTACGTACCCCACTAGAGAGCGCTCGCGTACCACTTGTGGCCAGGTTTTAGGTGAGGGGAAATAACACAATACCTCGTACAAGTACATCCAAAAATGTAATGCAGTCTTACCAGAGCTGTGTCTAAAAGGACTTGCTGTTTGCTGCTTTTGAACACTTACGGTGTTCAAAGATGACACTGTAAGTGCTTTCGAACCCTTACTATTTTTAATAGTATGTTCATGTCTGATGTGCAGATAAAAGGGTGAACGTCAAAAATGTACATTATTCTTAATGCAGATGGTTTAACTGTTCTTTTTAATGTTACATATGATGAACACAACACAAAGTATTGATTTGTGCTCAACTAACCCACACCACGTGTGCACCATGTTTTTACCCTTAGACCTTTTTCTTGGAAGTGAAAGCTGTTGGTTAAAATGCCAAATGTTTTTATCTCTTAAAAGTCCCGCAGAGCAAGTATTGTCCACAGTGCCTTTTAAAAGTTTCTTGTCTTTGGAAGCATGCAGTTGCAATATCATGACGAAACCTATTTCCTGACAGATTTATCACACATTAAACATGTTAATATTACAATACTACAAATTTAAAATGTTTGATTCACTCAATTTCACCCCTGTTAGTCTCTCCCAAGGCTTCCCTAACCCCAACATGCTAATCTCCTCCAGTGGTTCAATTTACAGTATTTGGAAATGTAACTGCAAGATGACAGTATTTCACTTTAATTTCTGACTAACCCATAATTATTTTTAGGCAAACCTTTGCTTATGTTTCTGTTTGTTTCTGTTTACTCTTATAGGGTTTAGTGATTTTTGACTAACTTTAGATTTTTTTTGGTCTTCTGTTTTATGTTCTAAGCTCTTTTTGATGACCTTTGATGACCTTTGCTACGTCTTAGGCATTTTTGGGTCCTTAAGTCATTGGTGAAATATTCGTAGCTATTTCTGGGAATACTTTGGCCACAATTAGCTAGGATAACTTCATATTTCCAGGTTATCCCTTAGTTCGCTTTTGGCTAGTTTTATCTCTTAAAATTATGCCTAACTATTAGTGATGGCTATAAATAATTAACAATCTGAGGAAACATGTAGTGCTTTTGGACATATTTAGGCAGAAGATAAGCATAAAGGTGTAGGTGAAGCATTTTTCATTGAAACTGCTGTCTGTTCTTAATTAAAAAAGTTAACAAATTGCTGAACCCTTAGAAAAATATAATTGTTACCTTAAACTGCATAGTTACTGTAATTACCAATAATCTCAACACCACTTCACATTAAGGTGGCACTGGTGACACCCACTGCTAATATCAGGGACCACACGGCTGCAGCAGCAGTAGCAACAGCACCATTAAAGGTTTTGTTATAGGCGTAGGTGATGATGTGCATGGCTCCTTCGTAGGCCTCCTCACAGGCTGGCTGGATCTGATCCTCTGGTAGGACGAAACCATACATCCCTTTGTCCCTGAGCTCAAAAGTGTAAGTCAAGGGAATCCCCTGCATGCGAGCCCAGTCTCTGGAGGAGCCTGAGTTGGAGTCTGTAAAAAGATGCTTTATTAATCTATAACTACAAAATCCACAGTTGTCTTAATGCTGTATGTGCAATTGGACATATAGTCTCCCAGTTACAAAATGTAAAAACCTTGTAAAAAGAAATGAAATAACAGTGTGTGTGTGCAGGGAGTGATTGTAGCTGCAAAAAGATGTTAAAAATATGGTCTTATCTAGTTTAATAATTAAACTCTTAAGTTCTACATTTGAACTCTTGAGGTTTTGGTTGTGCAGGTGTGCAGTTTGTGCATGTACTTACACAACACGGCAGGCGAGGTTCCTACAGTGTAGTTTTTCCCATGAACCTGTCTGATGGCATCTGCTGCAGCTAAACCCACTTCCATCTGAGGAACCAGAGATTGGAGTAGGTATGAAAACATTAACCCGGTGAATTAGCAGTTGTTTCACCTTTATTAAAGAAACATACTTAATGAACCATCTTGCAGCTGGACTTTTGATAAAGTTCCTGTATGCTCTGCCTTTGAGTGTACGGTAATAAAAATAAGACAAGGCGTATGGGTCGGTGCAGCCTACCATTGTTGTACCTTACTACAACACATGGGGGCAATCTCTGTAAACTGGAATTTCTTTGGGAAGAGGAGAATTAAATAATTACATTTAAATAATTAAATTAGCTAAAATATAGTTAAATAAAGGTAAAAAAAAAAAAAGAAGAAGAAATGACCACAACAGTAAAATTTGGTCACATCTAGAAAGTATTTAGCTTCTTCAGCTAATGTAAACAAAAATGCTAAAGTGGCTAAATAGAGCAAAAAAGCAGACTTCTAGCCAAATAGCTAAAGGTTTTACACAACAGTTTAATTTAGCAAATACATGGCCAACTTAGCTACAAGGTGGTAAACATCCAAACAAGGCTAAAAGATGATGTAATATGTAATAATCAAGATAACACAAAAGTTAAGCTTAAGCTAAAAAATTTGCTGAGATAGAACAAACAGCAAAAATGTACTTTTGTGTATAATTCCTTTCACACGTGTGTGGGATTTGGTTGGCAGGGTCTTTGTGTTCAGTAGGTGTAAGTACCAGCTCGTCGTAGTTGTCGGCTGTGAAGTTTGGGTGACCATAGGGAACCAGGAGCAGCTGGCCGTAGGAGTGGATGGTGAGGAAACACAGAAAGTCATCCTTCCGACTTCCGACGAATTTAGTCACAGCCTGAGCCTCGGGCTCAGATGCAGGACTGGTCCCACAGTAGGTGTTTGAACAACAGTCATATGACACACCAACAGCTGCAAAAGTAAACAAAAAAGATTATATAAGAGAATATAAAGTTTATGATTTTGTCTTAAAGTTATTAAGTATAAAGTCTGTAACTAAAATGTGTCACCAAACAAGTGGCTCTGTAAGGGTCTGGGGCTGCATTTCATCCAGTAGTACACAAGACTCTTCCTGCCTCAACATTCTACCAAACTAAAGTACTACATCATCATATTAAATACAGAAAATAAAAAGGAAATGAGAAAACCAGTGGTGGTTTTAAAATGGATTGTGTCAACACTCACTGCCCCAGTTAGCGTCAAAGTTGCGGTTGAGGTCGGTGCCGAAGCATGTGCAGTTTCTGGGTCCAGGGGTTCTGTTCTTCCTCCACAGTCGAGTCTGACAAAAAGAACCCGGCTTAACATTTGTATGTCACAGATGAAGCTTGTTATTCTGTGAAGCTATTTTTTCTTAGTGTGATAACATTCTTCGTGACACATTCCTGAAAGTAACTGGAATATATTAGAAACGTTTGAGGCCATACTTCGTTGTTCTGCCAGGAGAACATGTAGCCATCCACGTTAAGAACAGGTGTCACATAAAAGTCCATGTTCTTCATCATCTCATTCATTTTTGGGTCTGTTTTGTAGGCTTGCAGAATCTGGGGTAGAAAAAAAAGGCAAACAAACGCCTGTAATGAAACCTTTATGTTTCTTTTGGATGAATATAGATCTAAAACCAAACAGAGTCATTTTTATAGCTTCACATGACTTCATTCGTTCCCCTACCTCTCTGACGAAGAACTGACAGAAGGCTGGAGCGATCCATTCCCTGGCATGGATGCCACAATCCATCCAGATTGCTTTTTTTTGTTGCCCAGTTTCCAGACCGATCTGTAAGGAAATGTTACAGCTTCTTACTTTGGCTGAACCGTCGCACCAACACTAATTTACATTAATCCAGTTCTCAGTTAATTCCTTCTCCACTTGGTTCACCTTAAGCAAGCTAATCGTCCTGTTCTCGTAGGTATGGCCATAGTCCTCTATACGTGCGATGTCTTTGTAATCCTTCTCGATCTGAGTCATCCATTTGGTGATCTGTGGAGCAGATATGGACGTCTCCGTGAGTGTGTGCTGCTATGTTACTCAGAAACAGTGTGTGGAGGTTAATCAGCCGTTCTCACCTCATCCATTGGATGGTATTTGAAGTAGTCATACTCCACTCTGGTACAGTACAAGGGTGCACACATACACACAAACACAGATATAGAAGATTCCAGATAAAGAAGCAACTTGAGTCATTATGTCTGGAATGTCCAATTATTGGTCAGTGGTCTGATTGCCAATATTTTGCAATATAATTAGTGCAATACCACTAAAAAAAAGCAAGCAACATGAGTCACTGTGGAATCTGTCCTAAAAAAAGAACGTTGAGTTGAATGACAAGACTCTGGGTAACAACTCTGGTAAAACAATCCCTTTCACCTCGTGAAAACCTGTGAATTCACTCTAAATTGAATGTGAGTGAATGGTTGTTGGTCTCTATAGGTGGCTCTCCCTTGGACTGGGGCCAGGTGTCCAGGATGTACATGGAATATTGAACCCGGATGACACAGTCAGGCTGCCATATGTCTATAAATCTTATCTCTCTCTGTAAATATGTCATGTCATATGCTACCTTATTTGGTAAACGCCTCTGATTAGGACAGATGGGCTGCGATTGAGATGGTTCTGTTCATAGTTTAGTTTAAGAAAAGACAGTCACACCTTAACATGTTTTCACAAAAACTAGATTTTTTAGATTTAGATTTTAATAATATATATATATTATATATATTATATTATATATAATATATATGTATACCACAGGTTTAGGTTTCAGGTTTAATGTACTGTATTTATGTTGTCCGTCTGTGTTTCTTTTAGCATGAAACTGTTTAAACATATTGAAAATATTTATCAAGGAACAGTTGAATAAGTTTTAAAATAATAACAAGTAATCAAATAGATTATCTTTCTTTGATTTATTATAGTAATTTCCTCTATTTTTTATATAAGTAGTAAAAAACATTTTAAAAACCTAAATTTATTAGATCATGTATTTACCTTTTTGTAGAAATCCAAGGGGAAAAATATAATATAAATAATATAAATATATACATACATATAAATATATATATTTATAATACATATAATATAAGAAATATATTTTTAAGATTAAAACTCGCCTGTCTATCGTCGCTGCGTCCACTGACAGCAACAGCAGCACAACGGCCAAAGCCCCGCAACACATCTTCATGGTGACTGTGTAATATGAACAAACTCCCCTGTTTACAGCAACTCATGACTCCTCTGACCCCAGGCCAGCTTTTATAAGGGAGACTCCCACAAGATAGGTGTGAACTACCTGCCACCACTGACCACTGACAGCACACATGTAAGCGCTGCTGTGGTTAATATTCAAGCTGAGCTGAGGGAAGTCTGCTGTGGGACTGTTAGTTGTCTCCTTCCTCTATTGATTTGTAAATAACGACAACAATAATTATGCATAATTGTACAATTGAAATTTTTCAGGTTCAGCTCGGCAGGAGAAGTCGTCAGCAATGTTGTGTTTACTGTGTAGTTCCCCATCTCTCCTGTAATACATTCAGATTCCTGTTGTTCTACTACATGAAACCTAATAACGTAGGATAATAACGTAAATTATTATCTGTACACACCACTGTATGAGTTGCTGCCACCTAGTGACTGAAGGCTTGTTATCATCTAATCATTACAGCAGTGGTAAACTTATGTCCGGTGTGCCATATTCCATTTGAATACCCCCACCACCCCTCCACCCCCATCCCCGGGCACCTCACCGAGTTGTAATATTGACCATATATTCTAGGAATTTAATTACATTCTGCCATAACCTACATACATTAAATCAGTACCCCAACGTATCATGTATATTATAAAGTATCGTCAGTTTATATGAGTAAATATGTATTTAATGTTTGTTAGTATAGGGGGATCACTCCAGCCTGGTCACCAGAAGTGGACAGCCCTGACCCTGAGTGGGTCAGTCTTCCATTTTATGTTTGAAAGAAGCAGGAATTGAGAGACCACAATATAAACTGTGACATCATGGAGGAACCAGCCACAACATACACTCTTATCTGCAGTTTCTGTCCTGCAAATAAAGAGACAGTAAAATTTGTGCCACAGGTGATTAGACCGGAACACAGATCAACCACTGATGAAAACTGTGCTGGAAAAACTATGCTAGAATATCCATACAAGTGCTTTGCCACATCATCTGTTCTGTGTTGTATTTGGATTGGATATTGACATTAAGTCAAAGTATATTTATTAATTGCTGCCTTGGTTGTTCTGGTTGCCCAGATATGTACTTCATGAAGACCGTAGCGCCCTCTGTGGATTGCATCAAGGTCTAAACAGATGGGAGAACAGCTGTGGCCAGAACAGTGAGGAGGTGCAAAGGTTCACACAGTTGTTTGCCATGCAGCTGCAATATATTAGATACGATATCTTTTATGACCTGATTGGAAATTAGCATTTTTGTATTTATTAGAACAAGGCCACTTTTAAAACGAAGGTGATCTTTGATTTTGCTTCAGTTTTAGAGGATTGTAGAAAGTGTTGGACGACTTTTGTGTCAGAGAATGAGGAAAATAAATCAATTTAAAAACAAATATATATGTGTATATATATGTATGTATATATATAAACAAAATGTATCCAATCAAAATGGCTTGGGATATTTATAGCTTTATTACTGAACTTAGATTTACAGAGACAGAGGACTGATACAGGTGCTAGGAAATAAGATAATGGATAATATTAAACAACTATTTTGAATAACAGACAATACAAAATGATGTGATCTCACTAATGTCACCAATGTTATGTTTGCATTTACAAAAAAAGTGGGGATCACATCATATTGGCCCAAAGGAAAACAAAGTTTTTTTTAAAAAAAAAAAGATTACTCTTCACATTTCATGTTTATTTTGGACAGAAAAGCAGTTATACAGTATCAAGATGAGACGTTTGTTTCCCTTAAAGCTCGTTTAAAAACCATTCATTTCAGTGTTGTCTTCACTGTAGAACATAACTGACGTGCTGTAAATATATAACTAAACGAGCAGACGAAGGGAAAACACAAGCCTGTTTTCAAGTGTTCTGAACCTCAGTTCATTAATATTCATTTGGAAGAAACACATGGGAACAAACCGGCAGATGAAAATGTTACGTGTTTACTTGCCAGTGGTTTAAGTGAAACTAATGAACTGTTTGGAGCAATCTATGTTTCATTGCACTTTAGTTGTTGTTCTATTTTATTTTGCAGCACCAAACGTGTGGAACAAAGAAAACTTAAAGGTGAAGCTGCAGTGTCTTAAATTAAACTAATAAACCAGCAGCTCCAGGCCACTCTCTCCTCTATCAGCCAGGAGATGGGATGGTTGGGGGTGGTGGAGGCTGTCGAGGGGGCGGGGTGTCTGTGTAGAGGTCTGTAATTTGCATCTAAGCATCTAGATATTTTACGAAGATGGGTAACAACTGAGCAAAGGAAGATGGAAATGTACCTGTTAACTTTTCTGAATTGAAGTTTGCAGAGAGAGGTTGCATCATAGTAATGAGTGAAACTGCTGTTTTTTTCCCTTGGCTAATTATGTCACTCAGGAATTTATTGTTAATTTATGTAACAGTGTTAATACTATTCGTCTGAACATATCTATATTTATCTCCGTGTATCTGACAGTAGTAACAGACAGCAGCCAACAAAATTGTTTAGCAAGCAGTTCAATATGTTACCAGCAGAGGTCAGTACAATACCTCCGTTTACGTAAGGTCGTTGCAAACTTTGAAGTCATTTTGAGCCGTTGTCCCGGTGGCATATTATCATCCATTATCGGGTCAACTATACCCAAAGGACAACAGGTGGGTTAAATGCAGACATATTCTGACATGTTTCTGAAGTTTAATCGTCTGCTTTTGTTTGTTTTGTGAAATTTGAAGCATCAATTTTGAGTGAGATATGCTAACGGATAAAAAACGTCCTTAATTTTTTTTTTAAGGTGTTTTAGTCAAGTTTGGAGTTGTATGATTCCAGTCCTGAGGGAGTTTGTGTCATGAAGGTGGTGTCATTCTGTGACTCTCTGTCAGAGCCTAAAGTCAGTCAAAAAAATCTGAAGAGGGTGGAATAAATGATAATGATATTATTATTAAATAAAATTATTATTGTTATATTTCTGACTGGGAAAATTATTATTGTTAGGGAAAGGGGAGACACATGTTATGTGTCATGTTATTATTATGTAGGAATTCTTTTCCAACACATATTTGGCTCAGTCTACAGGTCTGAGCATGGTTTGTCCCAGACACCTTCCATAGCTGAGGCAGCACCATCAGTTATCTTTGCTACGAGTACGGGCCAATGATCTGAGGTTCCTGATCCGATTGATATTTGCTAAGTCAGCTAAGCTGTTCCGTACACATGTCCTCATTAAATAATCAATCCACTGTTCGGAAAAGTTCAGCAGCGACCTGGAACAAACATTAGAGCTCTAACAGTTTTCATCACCGTCGTACGTCCTTCAAAGGACACTGTACGTCCTCAGCTGTTAAACAGTCATGAAGATCATTGGGTTGCTGGTTCCATCCCTGGTCCTTCTACGTGTGTTCTCCACTTTCCTCTCACAGTCCAAAAACACCCAGGCTGAGGTAACTGTTCAGTACTCTACTTTGTTGTGAATGGTTGTCTGTATTTATGGGCCTGTGATGGACTGGTGAACTGTCTGCCATTGGCTCCACCTGCAGCCTGGAAAGAATTCAGTGGTAAAGGTTGAGGGTGACTTGCAGGAGATGTCAAGACTTGCTTTCACACTTGTTGACCTTGACATAAATCAGTCGAACTGACAATATATTTGACAGTTGTGTCGGTCGGTTTTTCAGTCATGGAATTACTCACTGTCCTGCCCCTGGTGTCTGACCTGAAGCTGACCATCCAACATCCAACATCCGACCATCCATGCCTGCTTGGCGTTGTTGTGGTATTTTGAGTTTGAAGCCATTCAGTGAAATAAAAACGTTTTCACGCAGTTATCATATATACAGTAGCCATATATACACGGCTTCTTGTCAAAATAATTGATTAATTTTATTGACTAACACAACACACACTGTACATCTCTGTAGGAAGAGCAGCCAGGTTTGAAGATGTTCTGTTGGAGCTCTTTTGCAGGTGCTGTGCAGACGGACAGAACCGGTCCCATACTGTAGGTGGTCTTAACGGAGAGGGCTGCAGGGTCTAACTGTATCCGGTGTCTTGATGTGCCTGCAGCAGATGGTGCCATCAGAGCCATCATTATCAGCCCCAGACCATGGAGTGTGTCTGGGTTTAAGGACCTGAAGGACCACATCCACACGAACACAAAGTAAGTTCAAATCAAATTGAGTGGAGAAATGACTATTACTTCTCTCTGCGATGGATCTCTAACTCTTTTACGCTGGTGTTTATGTGCGCGCGCACGGGCTCGCGCGTGAGAGAGAGAGAGAGAGAGAGTGTCATTGACTCTCTCCCTCAGCAGCTCCTTCATTCCTCCACTCTCTCAGCTGCGGAACGACACGGAGCGTTTTGTTTGTTTTATTTTCCTCCACTTTACGCGTGTCAACCTCGCGCTCTTCGCCTGTTGTTCCGTTTGTATTTATATTTATATTTTAATTTTTGACTTTGCTGTTGACCGGCGTGGACTCTTCCCGCGCCTGTTATGACGAAGACAGAAGGGGCGACTGGCAAAAGTTGAACCACGCGCGCTGCGTTCTTCCAGGAGCAGGTGTGACAGTGAGAACAACTCCGACCATTACAGCATGGCTCTGCCGTCGGACAACGGCACTGAGCTGCAGCTGGTGTCAGCCGACTGTCTGCCGCTGGAGAACCTCAACCTGACCGCCAACGGCAGCTGCAGCAACGGCAGCTCCATTCTCAACCAGAAACCTCCAACCAGAGTCAAAGGTGAGCTGCTCCACACTGGTCTTCACTTCACTGCTCATTCAGACTTCATCTGCGATTCTTCTCATCTTTCCATATTTTCTCTCATTTTATTTCTTAATTCCTTTCACTTTTTCACTCTGCACTCTTCTGTCTTTCTGTGCAAATTCAAGTTCTATGCTATGGTTCTATAA